GGGGGCCTTTAGAGATTAACTATCCTTTCCTTTCCCCCTTCCCCCCATTCGTTGGACAGAGGCCCGAGCGCGGGCGGAGGCGGCCCGGAGGGAGCAGGAGGTCCAGCAGCAGAGACTGGCTGAGCTGGAGCAGAAGATGCAGGACCAGCAACGGAGCTACGAGGAGAACGTCCAGCAGCTGATGGCCAAGATGGAGCAGGATCGGGAGCAGCTCCTGGAGGAGCAGAAGAAGATGATGGACAGCCGGCTGGCGGTAAGCCACCTTGGGGTCCCAGGGACAGCCCCCACCATCCCTTCCACCATGGGAGCCCCTTTGGCCTTTGGACAGAAATGGTCCCCACTCTTCATTGGTCTGCCTCTCTCTCTTTTGCAGGAGCAAGAGGCGCTGCTGAATGAGGGCTTCCAGAAGGAGGCCAGGCAGATGAGGGAGGAGGTCCAACGCTTGAAGGAGGAGAGCGACAGGGTCAAGGAGCCCTCCTGGATGAAAACAGCCCTGGATGGGATCCTGGCGGTCGGCAGACTCTTTTTGCCAGGAATCTCCGGCAAGGCGGTTGGGTTCGTCTCGAACCTGTTCAGGCGCTTGTGATCAAAGCCTCCCAGCAACGCCCCCTCCCCTCGAGGCCTCTTCTGCTGCTGCCTTTGGCCCATGGAAGGGCAACTCTCCCACATCTCTAGGCTTCTCCCCCTCCTCACCAGAAAGGAAGGCACCTTCCCTGGGGCCCCTGTTTCCCCATCCTCCTCCTCCTCTGGGTCTGCCTCTCTGTGGCCCCCCTGAGGCCCATGACAGGGATCCAAGAGGGCTCCAGGCAGCTTGGACCGACCTTGCTGCCCTCCCCCCTTTCCAGGTTCCCTTCCCATATGGCCCATCCGCTCTGCCTCATCGAGAACCGCCCGGGCGGGAGGCTGGTGCTGCGAGAGGAGGCCCTGGCGGTCCTGCAGCGCATCCGGCAGCCGGTGGTGGTGGTGGCCATTGTGGGGCTCTACCGGACCGGGAAGTCCTACCTCATGAACCGCCTGGCGAGCCAGCAGAAGGGTGAGCGGAAGGAGCAAGGGCACGACCCAGGCCTGGTGCCACCCTGGAAGGGGTCACAGCCTCCAATATGCTGGAGCGGGGCCTTGGGGCGGGTCCCAGATCACCTCTGGAGCAGGCTTTGTTGATGTCCTAAAGGGCGGGGCTCAGCCTGGCCCCCTCCTCACTGGCCGTGGTGTCCCCTCCATTCCAGGCTTCTCCCTGGGGTCCACGGTGCAGGGCAAAACCAAGGGCATCTGGATGTGGTGCCGCCCCCATCCCCAACGGAGTGACCACACTCTGGTGCTGCTGGACACGGAGGGCCTGGGGGACACAGGGAAGGTGAGTTGGGGGGAGCGGAGGAAGGGAGGGCTGGGTGTGGGGCCAGGCAATTCCACCCCAAGTTTGCCGCATGGGTCTGCTTCATGGTGAGAGCCACTCCGTGTGTTTGGGTAACAGAAGGCTCTTGCCAAGCCAAACCTTCCAAAGGTGGCGTGTGACATGTGCCCCCCTTCAAAGGCAATGAATGAGGCAGAGGGAGGGACTGCTATGTATGAGCAGGGAGGGAGGGGGGCTCAGAGAGACTTGCTTCTTCTCTTCCAGGGCAACACGCAGAACGATGCCTGGATCTTTGCGCTGGCCATCCTGCTGAGCAGCACCTTGGTCTACAACAGCATGGGCACCATTGACCAGAACGCCCTGGAGAAGCTCCAGTATCCTTCCCTTGGGGGCAAATTGGGGGGGGGGTGGAGGCAGGTGGAGGAAGTGACACCCAGTTCGCTTTGGGATCCCAGCTGGGAAGGGTGCCCATTGGTCATTGGACAGGAGGGTTTGGCACAGGAGAGATGCTCTGGGGACACATCCAGGGGAGGATTGGGGGCTTTGGGGCCTCTTCCACAGACAGACGTCAGCAAAAGTTAAGACTACCTGGCAAGACAGACCCTTCCCACACAACCAGGCCCATAGCTGAGGTGCAGTCAGGAAATACAGGCAACTGTGTTTCACTGCATGACAGTCACTCCCCCCCCCCCATTTTTTAATCAAAGAAGAGGGTGCACTATAACATTATGGAAAAATATTTTGTCTATCTATCTATCTGCCTATCTATTTACACACGTTGCTTCCAAAGGGGGAGGAGGGAGAATACAGCCTCAAACAACCAGTTTATAAACTACAAACGGAGGTCTCTGGCGCTCCCCTCTT